TTTTAGTAGCGCCATACTGATCGACCAGACTTTGCAATCTCATTTTGTCAATAGAAAGTTGCATCGAAATTGATATTTCCTTCTGCAATTCTCCGGTGATGTGCCTCAACTTTTGTTCCATAATTTTTAATTGTTGCTTTAATATCGAATCCGATCCACCTACTGACGTCTCCATACACCCCATAGTATCTTTAAGAGTAGAAATTTCTAAAGTCTTTAGTTGAATTTCTTTGTTTTTTTCTTCACATTGCAACAACAAATATTGGTTTTTGTCTTTCAAATTTTTGATAATATCCTCGGCTTCGGTATATTGCTTTTGTAAGGCCATGAAATTATTCTCACTGTCATTGCGTTTAGAGAGCTGGCCTTTTAAGAGATTAATCTCTTCAAAAGCTAAGGTGTACCGCTCTTGCATGTCCAATAAGCAAAATTTAGTTTCATTTAATTGGTCGCTAAGTTTTTCATTTCCAGTTTTATAACTTTCCAGTTTAGCTTGCAATTCGTTCTTCACCGTTTCACCGCCTGCCTTCTCATCAATTGAGGAATAGTTTTTGCATGTTCGCATAGCGAGCGCGGCACACTGGACATTCGGTAGATCTGTAACTAATAAACATATTATACATAGATGAACAAATCATCGCCTCATTAATCATAATTCTCAGATCATTGCTCTTATTTACCTTCCACGCCAATCTTGAATGCAATTATGATGGAATACGTGGCCGCAGCTGGTGTTGTAGATCGTGTCCGATGTTTGGAAATTTTTGGTGCAAATAGGACACAAAATTGAAGGTGCTTCCGACAATGCAAATAAACAGCAATTTTAATTTTATTTATTTGTTGCCTTTATTGCGTAAGTTTCTATAGAGCAGACGTGGACGTATTCAAGAATATAGAGAAAAAACTTGAAAATTCGTCTATTTATGTTATCTATTTATTCAAACACACAGTTATGTGTGCAGAGAATTACAGTAATTAAAATATATTGAAATACGTGGTTATGTCACCTGTACCAGTTATGTTATATGAGAATAACTTGGGAGTTCCCCTTGTTCTGATAAAGAATGAACAGTGTTGTTCTCTTAAATACATAATGCAACGTGGATGATAGCAGGGTTTACGGTATATTTTAAACACATAATATTTCGTGATTAGAATGGAGATTTTTATTTTTGAATCAAAGGGTATAACATTTACAGGGGAATCGAAATAATTCGATTTAATTAAAAGTATTGAGTGCCGCACGCAAATATTGTTATTTGCGTTGAATGCATAATAAAACTTTACCTACTTTTCAAGGATTTTTATGCCGCAAAATTTTTGCTACGTCTTGCCGGAATTAATAAATCATATGGTCTTTTATGTGAAGTAATAAAATACAAAAACAAAAATTCATGCATATCATATGTTCAAATTTTCGATTAGGAGTTTATATATCTATTGGCTTAGTCCTTCTCCATTCAACATACCAAAAAAAAAAAAAAAAAAGAGAGTTTTTATATGCTTATAAATGATGTTCACATGATGAAGGATTAACTTCCTTCATTAAAAAAGCCTATACATTACACTAATCATTTAAAATCTTCAAGTAGTTTAATTACAAATTTCTATTTCCTTATTACATTGAATATTTGTGTTCTATCATGTCTTCTTCTTCTTTTTTTTGACATCTTTTCGATCTTGCCAGTTGCGAATAATCCGCTTCTTTCATATTTGATTGAATTTGTGGCTTACTCTTTTCATTTGATTTACGCAGCATTGAGCACAATTTCAACTTAAAACAACTAAAAACATTACAGTCGGGCAAGGCCGACCGTTCAATACCTTACACCTATTAAATTGTCTAACACAAATCTTAATTTTGTATGAAATTACGATTCAATTCAGGGTCAACTGTCATCATCACATATTAAAACTTGGGCATTTCTGCTCTACAAAGGATTAATTTTCGCGAAAATGGTCCAAATTGGGTATTGTTAATTTTTTTTATGTTAAATTACTATTATGATATACTCTTTATCGTGAAGCATTGAAAACTCAAGTTTTCATACCAATTTAGGATGCTCAAATACTACTACTTAGCGACTTTTGCTGAGTAATTTTGAAAGTTGCAATTTTCCCCAATGGACCAGTCCATTTTCGAACCATTTTAATCGCGCTGGTCCTTGGGTCAACACATGTCACTGTACCAAATTTAAATTCTTCTTTGAAATATCTCAAAAATTGCGACCTGTAGTTTGAACATAAATTTATATGGACACACATCAGACGGACGCATAGGCATTGATCAATTTAGATTATGATAATGGTATAATGAAAGATGGTTGTACCTTAAGCCCTTCTACGGATTACATACGTCCGCACTAATTCAATATACCCTGTACAAAAAGTAATGCAGGGTATAATTATTAATCAAAACGTCCCCCATGATTTCTTTACAAATTTAACAACATTTTTCTTTTTCATATATCCAATGCACATATGAATGGCATACATATTTACCGAATTATCATTTCTTTTGGCAATTTACTTTTGTTCTCAAAATAGTTGATTTTTATAGTGACGTCAGCTACTGGCAAAGTTAAAAAAATTCATCGTACGTATCCTAACATTTTGTTCAACGTTTATAGCAATCGAACGCGTAAGAGCCGAGAAAATACATTTTATGGTTTGTAACCGAATATTTTATCAAATTTACTTTTCTTAATGCTTTCTTTCCTCTTACCGATATCTCTTAAAATAAAAGTTTTCATTTTCAATGTCACTTCGCCACGATCCGTCGTTAAGTTAAACAGTGTTATCACTAATCAGTTGTGCAAAATTTGCAAGTAATGTATATGCAGAACTGCGGCTTTGTGTCCCGCTTGTGAACACATGTAAGCTTGTTTCTTTTTGCCTTTTTTCAATGATTATCGCTTTTTTTTCGCTTTTTATATAAAAGAAAATTTTTTATTTGGCCGTCTAGTTACAATGTTTGTGGTTTAAAAATACAATTTTTAGTTTGGTGTTAAAACAAAAAAAAAAATGAGGTAGCTTCTTTTTGAGATGTTGAGTTTATTTCAGCTAGGCTGTTAAATTATGGGGCATATACGGTCGGCTTGTACTGTAGCGATTATATACAATCAAATATAAACTGGACCTTTCGCTTTAGATGTTGTTGTTGTTGTTGTTGTTGTTGTAATTTCGTTCATAAAAGTCACGTAATAATTTGAGAGTAATTTTGAATGTTATTAATTCCATTCTCTCTCTCCGGTTGGTCGATTTGCTCAAATAAATCAACGAATGATAGATAAGAAGGAGAGTGAGTATAAAAATATTCCTCTATAATCGAACATTATTTTTTTATTCGTCTGTTTTTCAGGTACAGGTATAAGTTTTCTTTTCTTTGTTTTTTTCGGAAATATTTCGCCAAGATAGTTAAGGCAAATCTTTGTTGAAACAGATATATAATAAATTGATACTGGAAATGATAAACTAATCTGTCTCTTAACTAGATTAAGATTTTAATAATTGAATTGATGAATAAACTCAACTAAGATTTTAATACAAATACATAAAGAATAATTCGGAAAAACATATAAGTATAGGTATATAAGTACAAGCGATCAATTAACATATAAGTAATATTTAAATTTAGATTACATACATTTCTAGTGATTATTAAATGATGGAAAAGAAAAAAAATCAAAGTAGATAATACGAAAAATAATAGTAGATAATGCTATTGATGATAAACTGAAACTGGAAATAATGTATAAGAAAAATGATTGCCTTTCGAGCAAACGGGTAATTCCGTTACTGAATAGGAATTATTGGAATGGCTTATCATCGTATTAAAGATCTAAGTTTTGAGGGATCACTTTGGCTGTATCGTCGTCATCTAAATTAATGATCCTTACAATTTCGATTTCCATGCGCGTCAGCTTTTTTTGATTCCATTCTAAACGCAAAGACAATTAAGATTAATTCATTACATTACATATTACATATTATTATTAATTTAACCAGAGATATAAATTTCAAGACAAAACAAGTCTTAAGGCAGTAGCTTCTAAGGCTGTTATAGGCTTTTTAGAAAACTCTTAAGTGCACTTGTGCTTACATAAAAATATCTTAACAATTTAGATATATATAATACTTTCAGTTTGCACAATTTATGTACATTCATAGGCACTTGGTGCTAACCTGGTATGTGTAGCTTATTAGATAAGAAATGCGATTACGAAGGGAACACACCCGGGTCCATTCGATCGTACTTTTATTGTTATTGGCGTTGATGGTGCAGCTATGGTGAATTTTCGATAGGCAAGGACAAATTGAAGTCGCACCCTAGCTAACTTTTATTACTTGTTTCCCCTTAGAAATGACCGCGTTTACATGTTTATGCGGAATAACATCTGATTGACTGATTACAAAAAAAAAAAAAAAAAATTAGAAATAGAAAAAAGATAAAGGAAAAGAAAATGAACTCCATTAATTAATGTAATCGTCGAAAGGATGACCTTTGACATACAGAGATATATAATAAGAATTATTATTATGAAGTAAAGAATGAACAAAGGAAAGGTAAGGAATGGTGCAATCACTTTTCATGAAGGAAATTCTGCCTTTTTTGCTAATTACAAGTGAAACATATGTAAAGGAAATGTGCTTTGTTCTCTTTCCGACTAAGCATTATAACTTTGCTTTATGACCGGGATTTTCTTCCCTTCTAAAGTCTTATTTATCTTTAATTAGTGTTAGTTTGCAAAGAGACGAAGTTTGAAGATTCTTTTTCATTTCCACTGATAACTTGTTTGTGCTGAGGAATACGCTTTATGCAGTTGTAATATCAGCTCTTGAATGTTGTTAACTCTCAACATAGAATTACACATTATTTATATATGGTTGAGGTTGTTTTGCAATTGAAGTACTTGATCAACTCACCTCAATTGATTTTGTAAAATCAATGGTGTATCAGTTACACTGAAACCGCTCTGAAAAAATTAATTGTCATCTATTAACATTAGTCTACCTTAAAAAATTTCAAGTTTTGAAACCACTTGCCTTCAAGCAGCGCGTATTTAAATCATGAAATGGGTTTTTCTTAGGTTTTCTATCTACTCTTCTTACCGGACGTTGTTCGGGCACTTTTGATTTATTGGAATTAATCTTTAGTTTTACAAAATGATCAGTCAAATTTTCCGGTTTGGTTAAAGTGCAGCCCGTTGGACCAAAGAACGGAAATGAACCGAAAGTAGCTCTAGGATTTTCGTTTATATTTTCCGTATTTTCTTCACTGCCAAATATGAAAGCATTATTAGGCCATTCTATTCCAGTATCGGTAGTAGAGGAGGCTATAACCGTGCTATCACTAATTGAAGCAATCACAGTATTTGCAGTTACACTTGCGCCTGTCATGCAATCGGCTGACGCCCTTTTACCGTTCATAAACACACTATTAGTAGTGTTACTTGCGACCACAGTACTACACTTAGCCGGAAAATGGGGAAATGCGAAACTAATGTTGGACAATTTTTCATTGTTGGCAGGAGTGGTGTGTAATGTACCAAGAGGGCTCTTTTGAGAATTTATTGTAATATTATTCATCTGGTTGAGGTTCGATGTTGCGAAAATAGATCCGGTTTTATTCTCGTTCGTTCCCGTTGAAGATAAGTTGATATTGCTTTTGGTACAACTTATATTAACGGCGGATGTGCTAGCAACTGGCGAACCATTATCAAAGAAGTTAGTGTTGGGCATAACTGCAGAGAGACCATCCACTACCGAGTTGTTAACAGCTTTTTCCGTACCCAGAGAAATGTCTCTAAAATTTTTTTCAAATAAGTTATCGCAATTCGGATCTCCTTTTGAAATACTACCAGAAGAGGAAAAGGTAAACAATGACTGCGCACTGGATCTAGTGGTTCCCGTTGAAAATAAGCTGAATTTTTTGGGATTCATTATATTAACGCCCGATGTGCTAGCAACTGCCGAACTATTATCAAAGAAGTTGGTGTTGCGCATAACTGCAGGGAGACCATCAATTGGCGACTTGTTAACAACTTTTCCCGTACCCAGACGAATGCCTTTTGAATTGTTTTCAAATACGATATCGCAACTTGAATCTTCTTGTTTATCGTGATCGCCACCGCTTTTTGAATTACTACCAGAAGAGGAAAAGGTAAACAAAGACTGCGCACTCGATCTAGTGGTTCCCGTTGAAAATAAGCTGAACTTTTTGGGATACATTTTATTAATGCCCGATGTGCTAGGAACTGCCGAACTATTATCAAAGAAGTTGGTGTTACTCATAACTGCAGGGGGCCCATCAATTACCGACTTGTTAACAGCTTTTTCCGTATCCGGACGAATGCCATTTGAACTGATTTCAAATAAATTAATGCTGCTTGAATCCCCTTGTTTATCGTAATCGCCACCGCTTCTTGAATTACGGTAAATTACGGTAGTAGCGGGAAAGGTAAAGGGAAATGCAGTGTTGTCTTTTCTCTCTGTTGAAGCCTTTTGGCCATAAAGTTGCATAGCTTGCTGACAAAAGTCGACCGATTTTCCGCACGTTTGTGATGGTATATCGTGAACCTCCGCTAGCCACGTGTTCATCCTTTTATTATTTTCATCCAACTCGGTGTATTGTTTATGTAAACTTAGAAAATTTGATTCAGATAAATTATATTCTTTCTGCAATTCTGTGTACTTTTTATCGATTTCGTCAACTTTTTCAAGCAATGCCTTTATCTTATTTTCAGCTTGTTGTAGTTTCAGCTTAAGCTTCACTTCACCGTCCATATTTCCATCAAAATTTAGATAGACTTTTTTAATAATCGAATAATAAGAGCGACATATAGGGCATAGATTAGATCTACAAGAGTAGGATATTTAGCGAATTCTTACTGTTATCACAATTATAATTACCTTTCCATCCAATTTCGAATGCAGAGATCATGAAATATATGGCCACAGCTAATGCACCCAACATTATCCAAACTATTAAAAGTGTCGGTACATATGGAACAAATAACCGTGCAGGCCATGATAAATTGAAACCTAGTTAAATACATAAATAAATAACATTTCTCCCAACTATTCAACAATTTTTAAGGATCTGAGCATTACAATCCTTCTTCTTCTTCTTCTTGTTATATCAGCAAATTAATAACCGAACGTTCGCTGGGATGTGAGCACAGAGTTTTTTGTTTGCGTCTCAGCAAAGCTTTAGTTAAATTTGGAATATAATATTATTATAATTCTAAAGCACCGTGTTGTGTTCTTTTTCTGTTATCCGGCAAATTCGTCGATTGATTCAATGAACTTTTTTTTTTTCAAGAAACTGAAAATTCGATTGAATTTTATTTGAACTAACTACTAGATCAACATTACAATTTGTGACAATCTGTTTTTTTTTTTTTTTTTTTTTTTTTTTTTGGGCAGAGAACAGAAGTATTTTAATAAAAAAAATGAATCCTGAGAGCAAAACAAACCAAGTTGCAAATGTTGCTTAGATGGAAAACACAAAAAAAAAGGAACATACACACATATCAAGCATTTCAGGTTGCAAATAGTAATATATAGAAACCTGCGTTATATATGACAAGTGAAAATAAGAAAATAATTATGAAAAATAAGTGGACGCTTTGATTAAAAAAATTGTTTTTTAATCTTCATAATCTGATTAAATATTATGAATTAATTAAAAACCATTATTTGCTTTTATTTCAAAATTGCTAGGGCATAGCCGACATTGTTCATTTTTTTATTGATACACTGTCAGGTTACTTATATTACTTCCGTTGAAATTTTTATCACTATGTCTGTTGTATGATAATGATATGAATGAATAAAGGGAAAACAAATCAATTTTTTTTTTGCTTATGAAAATAGAGATATTTTCAGCCTATGTTTTATCGTGGGCGTGTCCTTTAATCGATTTCGCATGTTTTCGATACCAAACTGCCCGCAATAATTTCTAAATTTGCAGAAGTTCAGACGAATGTTTACCGCATAAATGCAAACAGATGGGCCGACAGACAGACGGACATGCTTGAAACGATTTAGAATTTGATATACTGATTGATAACATTTCTGCTTTATGGAATGTTGTTAGCAAAATAAAATCGGCATAAGTTGGCAAGACCGTTGATGCTTAGTAAATTGATTAATTTTTCAGGCCGAAAATGCTTGAAAATTTCATTGCGTTCGTATTGATTGCTTTCAATGAATGCATTTAACTTTAATTGCAATGTGCTCGGTTTCTTTGTGTTCTGCCCTTAGTTCTTGCTTTTGGAATTGCTTTGATAAAAAAAAAATACATAGTAATAATAATGTACGTTGTCATAAAAATTTTCGTAAGATTTATATTTTGCGCCATTTGTCCGGTAAAGTGTTGTCAACGAAAAAAAAATTGCGTGACAGTAGACAGTCCATTGACATTTGCAACAACAACAAATTGAATATTAATTTTTTCAATGATTACATTCCTTTTTACCTTCAGTAGATTGAATGGTTCGGTTAAACAACAAAATTGCCGTATTTGGAATTTACGAGATATATGAACGATATTAGACCAATAAATGCATTCACCAAGTCGCGAAAAGGGATTGATTAGAATTTATATTTTTCAAAACGACAGACGCAAGCAATAAGACAAGCAATAAAAATTTAACTTTTTATATTTGCATTTAAGTTGTGTGCATAAAGAGAATGATACACAGTTGCAAGAAGACGTAACCATATGCCCTATAACCCTTGCGTACATTTTGGGACACATTAAAGTGGCCGCATATTATATTTTGTTACATCTTTTGACGAGAATTTGTATTTAACTTTTGCCGCATTGTGATAACGGCCAACGTCACCCGAATAAATGGAAAAATTTCATCTGTATGTAGATAAAGAAGCACAACGATTGGAAAGTCATTTCATTAATGTGAAAAAATTGTGTAATTGATTGTGCGACCGGATAAGAACTTTTTTTTTTTCTTTGTTATTTACTATTTCAAAAGTGCCGGCGTACGTGGGTAGTATATCGTAATGCATGGAAAACCAGTTCGTTCGTATTGGTTTATTCTAGATCAACAGAATATCCGCTATATTGCGATTGGTATTTTATAGATTTAATTATAATTTCAGATTGATTACTTCACATAAATTCTTCCCGATTAATATTTCTTCCAGGCTTTTGTACGATGCTACATTTTTGTTGAGTTGAACTTTTTTTTTTTTTCTTTAGAATGCATGCTTTTAATTTCTTTTATTTCAGGCTCTTCGCACATGCAAAATAAAATTTTATTTGCTAAGAATTAGAAAAATTTTTATATATTTTAATTTTCAAATTTTTACAGGTTTTTAGTTTTTTGATTATATTTTGGATACAATACTGGTCGATTAAAATGAAGTAAAACACAAAAAAGAGAAAAAAATTTCGATGAAATTTATCTTTCACTTATATATTTTCGCATTCAAAAAGCGACTAATATTTGGAAAACCTTACAATCATTTTCTATTAATCTATCAAAACTGTTACCTATCTTTTAAACGATTCTTGTCTTTGACGAAGTTAAGTTAAGATTTTCGCTTTCGCTGCTATCGTTAATTTTCCATGAATCAAGCAATAAATAGAAAGACACCCTACGATTGCTTAAATTTTAAATAATGGACAATAAGTGGTTGTGACAGTTTTCGAATAATACCTCAATGCAAATCTCGAACCAAAAAATACCTTTTTTTTAAAAGCTTTTACCAAAAACAAACATATCCACGAAATTTTTTGTATTTTGAGGAAAAACAGAACATGGGTGAAACTAAGTTTTGTCAATCCATTTAAGATAATTAACAAAAAAAGTTCGTTATTATACCCTAAGCAACTTGAGATACCGGGTATATTGAATTAGTGCGGACGTATGTAACGCGCAGAAGAACTTAAGATAGACCCACCGTTTATTATAATGATCGATTCAAAATTATAATCTGAATTGATCTAAGCGTGTCTGTCCATGTACATTCATGTTCAACCAGTAGATCCTAGTTTTCAAAATATTTTGATGAAATGTAGTACATTGACTTCGTTTTACCCAAGGACAAACAGTATTGAAAACGGTTCGCTTTGGTTTACTTTTTCTACCACTCCCCACGCAACGCCTTATTTTGAAAAGTCGTGGAAAAATTTCTCAGCAAAAGTGGCTAAGTAGTAGTATTCTAAATTGATATGAAAACCTTGGACCGGCTAGCAGAATTTTTGAAACCCCTTATACAGCGGAAACTGAAGTGAGCTTTCAATGCTTCACGATGAAGATTATATCATAATTGTAATTTAATATAAAAGAAGTAACTGTACCAAAATTGGCCCATCTTGGCGTATTTTTTTGGATCCTATTCCAATAAGGAGTTTCACAATTGATCCTTTATAGAGTAGAAAAGTATAAATTTGAATATGCCTTGATTAAAATGGACCCATAATGTTATAGCAATTTCATATAAAAATGAACTCTACAAAATTTGGACCATCTACACATATTTTTGGATCTAGCCATATATAAGGATTAAACTTGTCTTACGTTAGGTTGCGTTTAGAACCCGCTTCACCATAAACATGCACATGCACATGGAAAGTATACTTTTACATCGAAACAACATAATATTTTTGTGCTCTATAATAGAAATTAGAATTGTTTTAGATAATGTGGTATAAGCTATTTAATGGTCGGCCTTGCCCGATGTTACAATGTTCTTGCTTGTTTTACATATTATTGAGTTGGCAGTATATGTTAGGTGTTTGCAAAAATTTTCATCACTTTTTCACTTGAAAAAGCCATTTATTGTGGGAAATAGATATAATATATATTAATCAAAATAGTTTCCATCATTTTTTACAATATTTTACAACAGACAGCAATCCACCTACCGACCCTTTTTCGCACTGCTTCAACTTTGCGGACTCGTGTGCCCGGCAAGCCATGCTGCATGGACATGAACAAGCGGCAATTAGGAGGTGCCTTGTCTAATCAGTACATGTGGTGTGGCAGAACTTTCCTTTCGAGCTGCAAGAGTGTATCCTGGACAACTCTTGCAAGAAGTGACATTTTCAGTCAATTTGTGTCGTCACTTTTAAACCATCCAATCCAAAATCAGCGATTCGGATACGATGGAGCAGCAGCAGCATAAGTCTCTGAACGTGTTTGGTGGACTACAGCAGTGTATTTCTACAAATAAACAAGAAAAATAATGAACGAAAGACGAATGGACGAAGAAGAATTCTGAGCGCTCGATGATTAGCGTCGACGTACGCTGAATAAATCAATAATATTAGATGGAAAATGTATTTCCCAATTCTTTATAATTTTTACCTGTAAATGTCGCTGATCAAAATTTTTGCAAATGCCTAAAAAATATACATATCTATATATACATTTATGTGCATCTTTTATTTATTGGTTTATTTATTGGAGCAACTTCATACAGCAAATAAAGTAAAATATTATTATCTTATCATTAGCGTTCGATATGGAGTTATTATGTATTGATTAAGTCATTAAAAATAACGAGTACTTGTACCAAAATGCGATCAAAAGATCACAAAATCGATTTTCTTAGAATTAGTCATGACTCACCCATGGTCGCTCGTTACATTGATTGTAAACTTATTATTTTTATTTCATTTGATAAATTATTAGATATTTTTTTAATCAAGCTGAATCAAGCTTTGCATTTTCATTTGTTAATAAATTTCAAATTTTGAACTACTGCTCTCTATATCTATTTACATCTACAATCAAGTTAATCTCTAACTTTATTAAGATTCAAGTAAAGAGCTTCGTATTCACATTGGATTTTTTTTTTTCTCAGAAGAAGAAGATGGGATAATTACAATTTTTTTTTTTTTTTTTTTTCTATATTGAATAAAAGAAGGAAAGAATCCGCAATCGAAGCCAAAATAAAGAGTAAATGAGCACATCATCAAAGCTGGAAAAGAGCAGAGGGTGATTCTTCCAAAGCACAGTCACTTAAAATACTTTTATACACAATATCGCCTTTTGTATCTTAATTGCATTCTTCCAACTTGTAGTGGCTATGGTCGTATTTTCGCATCAAATCTTTTCAAAATACCATAAAATCATATTGTACTCACTTTAATATATATATATACATATATATCAATTTGTTCGACATCCGCAGTTCATTTTATATCGTTTTTTTCTACTTTTAAAGTTAAATGTTTTTAGCCGCTCAAAAAGCTGACCTTATTTGTTGTGCATGTTGATCACGATAGAGATAACTAATCTGTGGGTATAAACTTGAACTCAAACCCAAAAACATAAGAAAAAAAAGTGAATTTTAATCTCCGCATGACGACATACATTTTGGATTAAATAATTCTTGTTTATGTTCTCGTTATATAACATAATTATTTAAAATATAT